TCTGGTAGAGCAGTGCGTACGTAACTAAGCTGATTTCAAATGGATGAACACGTGCAATAGTTGCTTTCTCTTCTAGCCCCACTTTGCTATTTGGTATTCGCCCGATAAACCGAGCCGCATTCTCCACGGTTCTTCACAGCCTTCGCAATGTGTGTGTAATTCCAAAAATTTTCGCATCGACATTCCTTGAACGCATCGACATTCCTTGAGTTCAAAGACACAATGATTCGCCTTCATTTCAGAAACATTTGTATTGGTGTGAAGTACATTTTTGTTTGTATCTCGCCATTATTCTACTCATTTCAGTATTTTCCTGTGAGCATTGGATGTCTGCTGCAGTCTAGAAAGCTTGTATTTTGTCTACGGCCTCCAGAAGGGCGTTTTCTTTGTCCGCATATAAGACACAATCTTTGTCCATTATGTGACGTCCTCTGTTTGAAGACCTACTCGTATACCTTTTGTATTTTTGAGCTCTCATGATAGCTTTATCAGACTCATATTAAGAAGCATAGGGGACAGCATGGCTCCCTGTGGGGGGGCGGGGGTGCTATTTGGGTAGTCAAAGTATTTAAACGTCACCAAGCCCAGAAAGATGGTAGCTTTCCAGTTTGTTAAAAATGACCAGACAATCATATATTCGTTGGCCGCAGTTATATCATTGGAGGTCTTTCATTATCACCTTGTGATATATTGAATCGAATGCTTTTCTGACATCCAGTGCTAGCTCTAATTCGTCTCTCGATCATGTGTTTGAGTTTAGTACGTCCTTTTGCAACATGAAAACAATGTCCTCAGCCGATGCACGCGGCCGCAAACCGAAAACATTCACCGGTAACGGACTCTGGCACCCTATATTGTTTTAAATGTGAAGCATTTCTTAGTGAACTTCGGCAACTTTGCGCATATCTATCTATCTATCTATCTATCTATCTATCTATCTATCTATCTATCTATCTATCTATCTATCTATCTATCTATCTATCTATCTATCTATCTATCTATCTATCTATCTATCTATCTATCTATCTATCTATCTATCTAGCCACTTACGACTTTTATCTCTCCTGGCCGTTTCGATGATGGTATCGATACCAAACTTGGTAAGATACACGGCTGTATGAAGAACATATTTCATTAGTCACAACATCAAAATCGTGACAAGTATGTCATGAATGTCATGATTTACATTTCATGATCCTGCAGCTCTTGCGGTAGTTTCGTTCACATGGCATGTTGCAAAACTTGTATCGTATGACATGATTATATGGCAAACACAAGCGAGAGACCCTAACATGAAAATCACGACACGCGCGTTATGTAACAGCATAACTACATGCCCAGCTCATGATGCGCTCGCGGGCGTTTCGCTAGCGTCACATATACCAAATTTGGCATTACGGTACGCAAAGGGGTGACGAAGGTATTTGAGTGGTGCAAACATGATAATCATAAGATACGTGTCATGTAAGAACATGACTACATGCCGCGTGTATGATGCGCTGGCGGCCGTTTCGCTAGCTTCATGTACACCATATTTGGTATTACGGGACGTGAATGGATGACGAAGGCATGATACTGGTGCAAACATGCTAAACAAGAGATGCGTATCACGTAACGGCATGATTACATGCTACGTTCATGATGTGCTCACGGCCATTTCGCTAGCTTCAGATGTGCCAAACTTGGTGTTACGCGATGGGAACGGACGACATAGATAAATGACACATACGATCATGATAATCACGATATGCGTGTCTTGTAACAACATGACTACTCGCGGCCGTTTCGCTGGCACCAAATATACGAAATTTGTATTACGGTACGTGAATAGATGACGAAAGTATGATACTGGTGCAAACACAATAATTATGAGATGCGTGTCATGTCAGAACATGACTATATGCCACAGTCAAAGTGCCAACACATTTAAACATGAGGCGGTGCGCGTGCTCGCCGGCGTTCATTTCGTCACGTCACGCCGGCTTTGCCACGCCAGGCGCCGTTCCTGCATATGGCAGGACCGGTGCCGGCATGTGCTGGCTGGTGCACGCCGCACTGCGTTGCTTTGACGCATGCACGTGCTAGCGCGTCCAGCGTGCCTCTCTAACGAAAAGAGGGAGACGCAGTGTTATCAGGGTAACGCATCGCTGCGAAAAGCAGCATGTCGCATTTCACACTGGTTGCCGTCGGGACACGTCGACGGATGCTGGTCACGCCTGACGTGTGACTATAGAGTGCCCGCGTTTCGCTAACGTCACGTCGTTGTGCCCAGTGTGCGCACGCGTTAACGCTACATTGGAGTATATTTGACCCTTGATGATGCGCTCGCTGTGATTTCGTGAGCTCCACATATACCAAATTTGGTGTTACGTGACGTCAATGGATGATGCAATATATTACCGGTGCAAACATGATAATCCTGATACACGTGTCATGTAGGAACGTGGCAACATAGCACGCTCAAAGCGTGCTCCCGGTCATTTTGCTAGCTCCACATATACAAAATTTGGTATAACGTGACGTGAATAGATGACGAAGGTAAACGACACATTCAAACATGATAATCATGACGCGGAAGCCATGTACGACATCATTTATCTCCACTTCATAACATTGTGCTGATTTTAAAGTAACATATCAGCATTTGTCATTCGTGCTTCGCATATCATCGATTCCCACTGAACGAGGAATTTGCCGGTTTTTTTTTTTCAAAACACTTACCCAAGCATGATGTATGAGCTCTATTCGGTGTGCGTAACCACCCTTACTGCGCACCTGCCAAATTTGGCCCCACCACTGCGAAAACGGCTCTCGTGCTAGTCCATTCCGGTCTTTGTACGGATAAGACGCTGTGGCTTCTTCTCCCTTACCCTCTCTCAGCCATCATGGGATGACGTCGGGGAACGAGATTCAGCAGACGCGCCATGAACGCACGTTTTCCCGTGTCGCGTGGTGATGAGCTCACATTACGAGCTCTGACACAAGTTTGGCGTGTGTAACAGTATTAAAAACTACAGTGAAATCATGGTGCGCTCCGCTTTGAAGGACGCCTGAACGTGGTCCAAGGTGTCTGTGATGAAGGGAAATTTCAACGGGCACCAAAGGCAACTATTAGGTCAACGGTGATTGTTGAAATAGCGATTAAAAAACCTCGTATTGTCACGTAAGTGCTTATTCTGAAATGAAATCACGTTTAAGTGGTTGCTGTCTTGTCAGTGCTCTTCAAATTACCCGCCTCAAGAAGCGTAACGTCTCAAGTCACTATTGCCGTGCGCAACGTTGCACGGCTTTGCGGCTTGGCCACCGACCCTAGTTAGTAGCAGCATACCTAAAGCAGAGGGAGCCACAGCAGCATGAACGGCTATGAATAAGTTTCCTGCCATTTGTTCTGAGATGGCAGACATGTTTTGAATCGACTGGGTCTCGCTAGATAGTACGACCGGTTCAGTTCAATTACGCGACAATTTCACTTTTGACCCAATTTCGAGTAATACCCCTGTCACACGGGCACTTAAAAGTCCTTTCATCCGGCGGTTCTTTTTAGGGGCGAAACTTCTTATAGCGGCCTCCGTTCGTCCTCCATAGTATGTAACAAGTATAACATTTTGACCTCCAAGGTGGTGCCAGTGAGAGACTTCTTCTGTGCGTTGTTGAACAATAAAAATAGTGCTCAATGTACATGTCAATGGCTGCTAATGAGGAATGAGAGACAGGAGCATTCGGATTTTAGTTAACGCGCAGGCTGTGATCACCATTAGCAGCCATTGGCATGTACATTGAGCACTATATGACAAGAAAGGGTTGCTACGTAATTCTCGCTGGGTGTAACCTCCTTAGCTTTAGAAAGGTTTAGCGAGCGTTGAGCCGCAGTGCCATGAATACAATGAACTTGTATATGCCATGAATGAACTCGAGGTGGTTAAAAATGGGAAGTAGATACGAAGCGCAAGCCGTAGGAAAGTGTGCGTGTGCCACCTCTCGTTTAGTCCTTGGAATGTCCGCTGGATGGCGGTGCTTCTATATGGGGAATATATGATGAAAAGATGCGAGATGGTGGTACTTGGAGTGTTGAATAGATGGACGAACGGACACATAGACAGATGCATGGATGGACGCATGAACGGATGCAGGGACGGCTGCATGGACAAACGCAGGGACGGACGCACGAACAGACGCACGCACGGACGGGCTGATGAACACATGAACGGTCACACTGACGGACGCATGGACGGACGGAAGCAAGAACGAATGGACGGACGAATTCTTCGCCCCACGCTCCATCATTCAGTCCATAGATATGCTGCCATTTTTTTCCATTAATAAAGCAGAACGAACAAGCAGCATTACACTGCGTCTCTTAATTCACGGAAGTTCCTTTAGTTACTGCACCTAGATTGATTAATATTGAATATTTGTAGGTGGTTTGTCTAACGTCATCGGAATCACTTTAATAGTGTCTTACTGTAGCGTATGTATTTTCATGTATTTACCGTAATTTCTCGGTAAGTAGGCCACTGCTGTTGACAATATTGTCGTTTTAGATGTTCTTATACTCTGAGATTTTACTCTGACGCAAATTGCTATTTGAGTCTAGTGTCCTTTTAGGTCCATTGATGGGCTGCTACTAACAGTTTTCTTTGTTGTGAGATGGTGAAATTTTTTCGAAATAACTCATAACGATTTAACTAGTATAGTAATTTTATTTATTATATTTCTTAGGTAAAACACAGCATTAATGCGATCGGCAGGCTTCATTTGTACGGGAGACATTACTGCGCATTACCTTGATCATTATTGTTCGACGATTTTTCCTTAATAAGGAATGAAGCGTCGTAACAGTTCTGATTTTGATGTTAATACAGTGTTAATAACCCATAAACGCGTACGTGATAACATGCAGTATATATTGAAATGCTGCAGATGTTTATTGAATGTGAAGTATTTCTGCAACTCGCTGTTTGTGTCCAACAAAAAAAGAGCACATACATAGTTATTCTGCGAGATCTTCACATAAATATTTATTTGGGTGACGTTTCTCCTAAGCATATGCTAATGGATTTGCAGCCACTTCATTTGCGCATTCCGCCATTTTCTGTTCGGTGCAGGCATTCGCTGTGCAATAACAATGGAGTCGCGCTGACGAATTGCAGCCCATTTTGTCTCCATAAAAAGAGGCGTTAAATTTGAACCTGCATTTGCACAAAGTGCACTCGGTCCACTTGTAGCCGGCCTTGAACTTTGTCGGATTACCTGAGATGCCAGTGCCTAAAAACAAACAAACAAAAAACAAACGTTTGAAACACTTTGACAATGCATCTAGTTAAACGTATAGAACTACGTTACCTGTACATAACTAAGCCTGTATCGCTTGCATAGGCTTCGCAGGTTTGCCTCTGTAGAGGGGAGGGGGGGGGGAGGGGGCGGAGGTTTGTCGCTGTTCTATCCACTGCATATTAAGCAAATGTATAGGGTAGGCTTCGTCCCTCTCTCCAGGTGACTAAACAAAAGCGGCTGACGCCGCCTCATAATAATAATAATAATAATAATAATAATAATAATAATAATAATAATAATAATAATAATAATAATAATAATAATAATAATAATAATAATAATAATAATAATAATAATAATAATAATAATAATAATAACATTGAGAATAATAATAATAATAATAATAATAATAATAATAATAATAATAATAATAATAATAATAATAATAATAATAATAATAATAATAATAATAATAATAATAATAATAATAACTAAAGGGAGATGCAGCCCCTCGTGTGCATCCTGTGATCGTTTGGAAACTACGCAGTTGACATTGATTGTCGAATATAAAGTTGGGTAAATGCTGAGGGAGCATTACTTCAATAAGAACTGGCAGATTCCACGTACAGTGGGAATCGATGATATGCGATGCACGAATGAGGAAGGTTGATATGTCACGTTCAAATCAGCACAACGTTACGAGACGGCGGTAAATTATGTCGTACATAACTTCCATAACATGAATATCATGTTTGGACGTGTCATTTACTTTCGTCATCTATTCACGTCACGGGATACCACAATCAGTATATGTTGCGCTAGCCAAACGGCTGCTAACCTATCATGAGCATGGTATGCCACCATGTTCTTGCATCACACACGTGTCATGGTTATCATGCGTGCACCAGTCAAATACCTTGGTCATTCAATGATGTCACGTCGCGTAACACCGAAATCGGTATATATAAAGCTAGTGAAACAACTGCGAGCGCACCATTAGCGTATCATGTACTTTTGTTTTACATGACGCGCGTGTGAAGATCATCATCTTTGGACGTCTCATTCACATTTGCCGTCCATCCGCGTCATCCAATACCAAATTTGGTACATGTGGAGCTAGCGAAACGGCCGTGGGCGCATCATGAGGGTGGAATATAGTCATGTTGTTGCATGACACGCATGTCATCATTTTCATGTTAGAGTATGTCACATGTGTTTGCCATGCAATCATGTCATAGCATATTAGTTTTGCAACATTGCATGAAAACGAAACCACCGCAAGAGCTTCAGGACCATGGGATGTAAATGATGACATTCATGACATACATGTCATGATTTGGTGTTGTGACCAGTTCAATATGTTCCTCATACAGTCATATCATGCCATACCACTTTTGGTATCAATATCATTATCGCAACGGCCAGGTGAGATAGAAGTTGTAGATAGATAGATAGATAGATAGATAGATAGTAGATAGATAGATAGATAGATAGATAGATAGATAGATAGATAGATAGATAGATAGATAGATAGATAGATAGATAGATAGATAGATAGATAGATAGATAGATATAGATAGATAGATAGATAGATAGATATATGAATACGCTCGAAGTCGCCGAAGTTTGCTAAGAAATGTTTCGCTTGAAAAAATAAGTTTCTCAAGAAGGACGAAGCACTGAATGCGACAACGACGTGGATGCTACAGGAGGTTACTGTTAGCCTTGCTTTGTTTTAGGGTAACATGAAGTCAGGCTAATAAATAACTACTGCAGGATCCAACCCTGCTTAATAACTCTAAATTTTGGAACAGTCCGGAACATCAACTGGGTAAATGAAGAAGAAGTCGCTGTAAAGGAACAGTGCTTCTGCAGCGAGCTATGTGATCTACGCGATATCTGCAAAGAAAACAGAGCAGTGAGCGGAGCATGAGAAGAGGTGTGAAGTCACCTAGTACGCTTGGAGTAAAGAAGCGTTTGTGACGTGCCCCAACTATGCATTGTACTGAGCTATGCAGCCTTAATTCCCAATGTGAAATGAAGGTATTATCCTGAATGTAGTCTCATGCCACCAGCATGCATTTCGTCTTGCTTGTTTTGCACTCGACTTTCGCTGCGGTTCCAAACAAGCCGAACTGCGCACGTTGACACTAGGATTCACGTTCACACGTTTATGACGTGGTTGTCGCTTGATGGTGCGATTGCAGTCGCAAAATCTGGCAGATACGTTTGCTAATGTAGTAAGCGTGGAAAGTAGGTACATCAGCCTGTTTGCAAACGCAGTAGTAAAGCAATAAAGTTAGGACCTCAGATTACGTAATGGTCACGTGATCCGATGAAGTCCCTAGGTGGTGTTTTCGCTTGGTGAAAAGTAAAACGCCCCGTGTGAGGCGCACAATCCTCGAGCGAAATACGTATCATTCAATCGAATCTGAACATCAAGTCAACTTGATGTCTCATGAAAACATGCGCTTTTGCCGGTGCACCCCTGAGCATTCGCTACAAAGAACGTTAATATTTTTGACTATTGTAATGCTGATCATAAAATATTAAATATTGTCTATCTGACGATTGAGCCACTAACGATTGATATGAAGTGTTTAACGTCCTGAAGCTTCCATATGATTATGAGAGACGCCGTAGTGGAGGGCTCCGGAAATTTCGACCACCTGCATTCTTTAACGTGCACTTAAATTCAAGTGCATGGGCCTCAAGCATTTTCGCCTTCATCTAAAATGCGGCCGCCACGGCCGGAATTGAATCCTGCGACGTGCGGTTGAGCAGCCGAGTGTCTTAGCCACTATACCACTGTATCGTGTCCCAAAATACTATCTGATGTGATGTTTCTCTCTATTCTTTGTATTTATTCGAGGGTAACGAAATGTGTAGGTACATCCACCGCGTCTGTAAAGTTTGATAGTCGCAGGGAAGTAAATGTCCACGTTGTACTTTTACGTTACAATTATATGCTGAATGTGAAACGAAAAAAAATCACTGCATATTTACGGAGTGATTGAAGATGAGTGGGGCGAAGCTTCGGAGGGCTTTATAAATAAAATTGTGAATCGTTCGTCCGTCCATCTGTCCATTCATCTTTCAGTCTGTCTATCTGTTGCCCGCATCTGCTGAGGCAGTCCTTCAACTAGGTGGTCATGTACCACGACGAGTCGAAAGGGACAGACCCACTGCTTTAAAAGCTTCACCCTAAACAAATGTAACGTTTGTGATAGCAGTACATGAATTCCAAAATTGGGAATTATAGCAATGTTGGGATATATGAGCATTGTAGGTATTCTTTTATATTCTACGGTTGTGTTAATATATACATACCTCTGTACCCTTCGGGCCCGGACTGGAAGCCACCTGGTGGCGGAACTGAAAAAGAAATCAGCAAAATGTTTGTTTTTGTTAGGTTCCGTTAAATAAAACACAAGACCTCCGCAGAATTCGCCGCATCAGCACAGTGTAAGCTGTGTGACTGGAGTTTAAGGCGCTGTTTGTAAACTACTGCGTATAAGACAGCGGTTTTATTTTTTGTTTTGTAAACACCATCGGAGATGAGTATCTTCGGTTTCAAAAGAAACCCATCAAGGGTTATTTATTCAGTGTAATTGTACACATTTCTGCGTTTGTGAAATAACAATTCATATCATAAGGTCAGATCGTGACATAAGAGTTTATTGTTTTTTAATGGCATATTAGCTATAAAAGCACCCCAGTAGCAGGGCTACGAATACAGCAATGTTCCCACTGCCACTGCCGAGTGGCTGATGTAGCTTGTATTGGGTGGGAACGTTTGAAACTCCGCTTTACTCAGAGCGCGGTAAAAGCTATGACGGAAGGCTATGAAGTACTTCTGATATACTCTTTTGTACAGATAAGGCGCTGTGATGCTCGAGCCTGTGGTGCAATCTACCTGGCACGACATGTTTCGTGAGTTGCGTTTCGTAAATGAGACCAGGCGTGGTGCTACTTCTGATGAATATAGTCAATAATTCAAGATGAATCACTCGCAAAACGCACGTACCTTCAGGGCAAGATGTGGGGGTTGGCTAATGGTTAGTGTATCATGCTATAGGCTTCAGCGAAAAAAAAGTGCGTCGCAGATAAAGGAACGAGCAAGAGAACCTAAGATGTACACGTACAAGTCGTACCCCAGCCACAGTAGTTATACAGGTTGTCTCCTCTTTTCAATGGTGTACTCGGATGTGTTTCGGCAAGCAAGATTAAACCCGAGAGTTCCTTCATGTCTTCATGTTCCAATTGATTGTGGCCTCTCTATCAAACTGAAAAAAAAACGCCACAGTTTCTGCTTAAGTTGACCACGCAATGTAATGTAGATGGAAGCGCCAACTATTCCTTCTTCAGTTTAATGATAGGCTTTGTGACAAGCATTGTTCAGGATAAGCCTTCTGTCGGCAAGCTTCGGGGCCCAAGTTCCCCATTAAAAAGAGAAGATGAAGTGCAGAACTACTGCTGTCGGTGCATGACGTCTTAAAATGGGCTCATCGAAGTGAACGTCAGTGCTTATCCCCACCATTTCTCTGTGCGCTGTGCTCTTTTTTTTGGGTAGAAGACCTATACGAGAACCACTGATTACACAAGCAGCACTGCGCCATCTGCGGTGTCATATGGCGATGTTCGCGACTACGCAACACAGTATCTTACTGCTCAGAAGAAAGAACACGGACGCCGCTGTTGACACTGCCATTGCTCAAGATGGTAACGAATTGTGACATTTGTGAACTTCAGCGTTGGAAACATTTGAGACATTTAAGCGTTATATAGCAGAAATCGCCTGACACTTAGTGCAAGCTCTGCATTGTTCATAAACCTATAAGGTAGCTGTCTGTTTATGCCCCTCATCTATCGCAATGTCACTGAAAAAGCTGGTACTGATACAGGTAATGAAATGTATTTGAGCCATTTATGACTATTTTTCAGGGTGAAAGGTCCCGCCTACTGAACAAATGAAACGAAACGACCCATTATTTGTTGTTGCTCAACTCTTACACAATGTATGCAGCAACTTAGCAGCGCACATTGATGACTATAGTGGCCCATGGTGCTTTTGTATAGCGCGTTGGCAGCTTTGAAACATCTACCTATTAGTCTGCAACTCACTGCACAAGGTTTTGTGCACTGCGGATACTCTCCGACAGTGATGCGTAAAATGAGCACTGGTATAGATGTAACTATCCTGCTCGGGGAATGTTCCTGCGAAAAAAAAAAAAACATTAGGCTGAATGAATATGTCTTCACAAAAGAGTGACACGGCAATCAGATGGACCGCATGCTAACTGTGAATCTGGACCAAGTGACACTGCTTTGCTTTGGAAACTCAGGCAATCGATGATTCTTCGCATCCTAGCCGCGTGCGAAAGTGAGCTTCTTAACAGAAGAAGATTTGGCTATCAGGAAAATTCCAGTTTGAACATTAAATACATCGTACTTAAATATGGTGACAATAGTTGCCACGCCTCCTCTGGAAGAATGATGCTTTGTGAAAGTACCACAACCAATGTAAATTGGTTGCGTTCTCTTCTCAAATGTATCCACAACGCCTCTAAAATTTGACTAATTTAGAGACACTAGTACATTATGCTAACAAGCTTCGTGCAGCAGAAATCTTCGGAGGAGGTATAGACGTGTTATACCATGACGTTTCATCGCTGCTGTGGCGAAAAAAAAAGCGATAACCAAGCCCCGCATGTACACGAAAAGTACGCGACATGTTTTTGGCTAATATCTTTTCTGGACAGCCTGCTATATTTCGTCTGAGATGTAGTTTGATAGCTGGATAGTAGTGCACAATACGTAACAAAAATATTTGCATCATCGTACAAAGAAACTGGTTACATTTCCCACTTGAAGCAATGCCAGAAATGAGAAGCTTACTGTGTGATTCGAAAGAAAACAGCAGCGAAACGAAGGAACAATGAGTTTTTATTTCGTGGTATCAAAGCGACATTGTCAAGTAAGCGCTGAACGTACGCGAAAACAAAGAAAACTGCAATAAAGTTCTAATAAGTCAGTGTATATTTATTGCGATGGGAATTTCGTAAAAACATCACTTCCAGGGAAAAGCAAAGCCATCAATGATTCATCAAAATTTAAGTTGCCTCATTCTACTAAGGTCATGCGTGATGTCAAGCATGGTGTCATCATGGTGTCAAGCGGTTTCCCGAGTATATAGTGCTGTGTCTGCTTCACCGAAGTGCTAAAGTGGCAAAAAGTGTGGTTTTTGGTCTCTTTTCATTTTTCTGCGCCTACGCACACTGTGCGCGCTTAGTGAAAAGTTTTGGAGCTGGAATTGTGCAGAATTGGAGCAGGAATCGTTAGGGCTCTCGATGCCGTTCCTCTATGCTGGCTTTGAGGGTGATGGAAGGTGTGCTCTTGAGAAAAAGTTTTCGCTTGCGTTTCCGTTGTTGAGACCAGACGGAACGACACAAGCACAAAGCACACCGAGCACTGTGAACGTACAACAATTAAGATCTCATAGGCGAATCTTGGTTTGGTTCACAGCACATCTTTTAAAATTATCATTCAAATGTGTCAAGCTAGTGAATGTTCCCGCAACAACCACTGCTTATGTGATTGCTACTTACTCATCAGCTTTGGTTAACTGAATCCGAATTTGAGTCATGCGCTCCTGTGGACATCAACTCTTATCTAATATTGACAACCTTTACGGTGGTCTAGCGATTATGATGCTCAATTGCTGACCCGCAGTTCGCGAGAATGCATACGGACTGTGGCTGCCCGATTTTCAATAGAGGCGGAAGTTCACGAGGTAAGCGTACTTGGTTTAGGTTCACGTTAAAAACCCCAGGTGGTGAAAATTTCCGGAGCCTTCTACTATGACCTCTGTCGTAATCGTGTAGTTGCTTACAGGGTGCCTTACAGGGTGTACGTGACGCACACTTAGCAACAACTATCACTGCACAACGGCAACCAATTCTGAGCGTGTTCCTTGCCATCGTCACCCTACTCGACCGAACTTTAGAGCATGACTCTGTTTTACAAGTCAGCCATTCATTGCAGCCAGAACATCAACGTCCCGAGTGCCTCTCTTGCCTGTGCAGCAGATGGGTATTACGATCGAGAGATCTTCTTTCCCAATCAATCCGACTCAGTCTCCAGTCATATGTAGCGTTTCATCGTTATCATTGGAAGAACAAGACAGTCATTACTCCGCAATCACCTCTTGAAATGGTGCACCTGCTTATAGCCCCAAGGACGACCTAAGCAAGGCAACATGCCATCATTGTCACCAGGCTAGCCATCTTGCATCTAAGTGTCCTCGTTCCAAATTCAAAGCTCAAAGCCAGCAAGCGAGTCTTCCTTCCATGGCCTGCTTTGAAGCTTCAGAGCTGCTCGAATAACTATTTGTGCAGAGCGTCATTATTCCAGCTGACTTTGCAACTATAGGCCCTGTTGACGCATTTCCATGCAGATAGCGGCTACAAACACAAAATTCTCTCGCTAAGTGTTGATGGATCTGCGAACGTGTTACCATGGCCTACACCTCCTATATCTGTTGTAGGCGGTGGTGCCGCCATGCCAGTTGGTGCGTTATGTACTTGCATCACTGTGGAGCCTATTTTTCCAGTGCTTGGAGTTCTATTTCTGGCTAGAAACCCCTTTCCTTTGATTTTGAGAGAGGACTGGTTTGAAGGTGCTCACGCTGAGCTTGTTATGAGGCCACCTCATCCGACAGAAATTCGCCATCCCAGCACAGGTGTTGCCATGCAATGCCTGGAGAATTCATTGCCAAGAATGTCTAATGCTTTGTGCTGTCCATTAACTCTACGCCTTTTTTACACAGGCAGCGTCTTCTACAGCATGTTAGCCGTTTTCGCCGTTGCCGCACAACGCCCAGACCACATGGTTGTTTTTCGAACCAAGTGAAGGGTTACCTAACGTCATGCCGCTTGAAGTAAACGCAATGTAACTTTACTCGAATGATATTCCGTTTGAATCGCACCAGCATGTAGGCGTTTTTGAGACTGATGACAATGACGTAGAGCTTTACAAAGGTACAGACCACTGCACTGATATTTTGTCGAATGGATCACCATACACACATCACCTGCATAGATACAGCAAAGCCGACGACCATTTCATTCAGAGCCAATGTCAAGCGCTTCATGCTACAGACTCAAGCGTCAAGATGGGATGGCTGGACCCACAACACATCCAGCTGGAGCCAGATAGTTAGTCAGCCACTGCAAGCCAATAAATTGAATATGGAGAAACAAAGGGAAGCCAATGGAAGCACGCACTCAGCCGGTCTAAAACGTGTCAGTTGTTTGGATTAGCCCTGATGGCTTCTCAGCTGTAAGGTTGAGGATCTCAGAGATAAAGGACCAGCAGGTGGTGGGCGCAAGGCAAAAAAAAAAACAAGGCACCAAAACAGCTGCTAAGCCAACCGTGAATAAGTGGCACAAGCCGAGTCAAGGAAATCTAGCTGCTGCGAGCTACACGAAAACGAAATGGACACCACAGGAATCAACTGTCTTCTACCATGACAGCCGTGCGAAAGGGGCTCAGGAGAAGCGAAAATGTCCATTGACTCTGGGCAAGAAAGAAGAGATCAAGGTTAGAGATCACCATATTTTTCATGAAGACATCGCTCAAACGGAGCGAGAAGAGGCAGCATACCAGCGCAAGATTTGAAATTCACGCACTGAGCAGGTAGAACAATGTCAAATAGAGCACCAGCAGAAAATTCGGGACAACAATAAAGCACGCAGAAAGACAAAGCGCCAGACAAAGATGAAGGTTTTTACAAAGAAGGACCTCATCGTTCCAAGATTCTGGGAAGATATTGGTGTTTTGGCTTTTTCTAGACTATAAGGCACGAAAAAAAAAACGGAGTAGGGTATGATCTCAAAAGTCCATCAACCATTTAAATAAAAGTGGTGTCGGATGTGAGATCTCACGTAATCTGGTAGCTTTGTGCTCCATATCGAGGTAGTAGAGACGTGGTTTTGTTGTTTTCATCCAAAGTTCGCATGCACCACAACTGTATTGATGCCATAGCTCCTGCTTATTAAAGTCGTTTTTGCCGTATAATCGCCTCGTTTACCTCGCCAAGTCCTCACAAGTAAATGATAGCTGTGTAATTGTCAAAGAGCCGAGTTGTGAAGGGGTACTTACCAAAATTCAAAGCGGTGTAAATTGCATCCAGGCCAAGCATTGTGGACTTCCGCCCCCCACTTCCAACAACTAAAATAGCAATGAAAAAGTTGCATCCTGGTTAAATAGCTCTATAATAGTGTGTAACTTGGATAGTTGGAGAGAATAAATATTCTTAATTCCCTAGCAGTCTAAACATTCAGTGTAGCGCAAACAATGCAGAGTAGTAGACAGTGATAGCTGACCGGGCCAGTGGTGTCAGTGACTGAGCGGATCGCCGAGCGTAGTGCAAGATAAGAGGAACAAGAATAGCCGATTGAATGCGCTGCTTGTTTCATCGGAGCGCATGGTTACGGAACCTGTTGAGCGCAGTTGAAGTTGAGCAGAGGCTTTGGCTGGAGAACACTCGAACGCTGGTCCGCTCCGCACGCTCCGCTTAGGGGACCAAATGAACGAGTGAGCAGCTTGCTCAACATGCCGTGCATGCGAAGTTTGCACATCCACTCGTTCACTTGGCCCGCTGACTCTCTTAGCTGCTCAGCTATTTCTCTGTATACTACGACGGAAGACATGACTGCACGCGTGCCTTTGGCGCTAGTTCTGCGAGCTGTGTATTTAATTCAGGTTGCGGGGCTTCCGTGACCACACCGGAAGGCTTTCTGTTTCCAGTCGACATGTCCGAATTCAAAAGAAGCCTAGAAATTTCGAAACACTTTCATTTTGACGCGTGTTCACGTGGCATAACTACCTTTCTCGTTCTTTCTTATCGACAGAAAACTTCGTAATGTGGGCCCTGCGAATGGCCCACTGTACCTAAACCGCAGGAACGTCGTAGCTGGACACAATTGTTGGTCTGAACCGCGATAAAGCCCGCAATTATTTCATATTGCTAACTTAGAACCGCACCTCGGCAGTGTAAATAAATTTCCTAATAAAGCGACCCATCGCTTGCGTTTATATATATATATGATATATATTATATAAATATTGTATATTATCTATCGTATATATTATATATATACGATAGATATTATGTATATTATATAATATCTATCGCTTGCGTTTTGATCGCTACTTTGCGAACTAAAGCGAATGATGCACAATTCTTAGCTTAGCTATAAGGATAAGCTCTAAAGGGAACAATGGTATTCTAACACAGTGCGATGTTGCTTCCATATATGCCGACTGAGTTTGCACGGTACCAGTCACGTTAGTTGGCGGCAACAGTGCATGAATGGACGAAACTTTTTTTCCGAGAACGTATATTGCACAAGTGTCTGCATATATCTAGCACAACCTATATCTCAATTACTTTAATAGAGTTTTACTTTTCCTTAAGTATGAAAAGTATTTATTTATTTTTGCCTCTGATTGATTGCACCTTAGTGAAGGCGTAGAATTCCGGACTGTAACTCAGAAAACAGAAAGCGCATGTCAAGTCTGAATGTACATATTGATTGATTATTTGGTTACAGAATGAGTTGTACTTACGGATACGGACGATCGATTTCTTAGGTTTCAGTAATGTCAACACTTTCAGTGCTTTGGGTAGCTTTGCGAGAAACCTGGCTAAATAAAATTGCTAATCAATGATTATGCAATATTTTCTCGGTAGAGTCCATGCGTTGAAGACATCCCGCCATCAGTCTGAAATACTAATAGTGGACATCCAAGGCTTTGCAGTAAATAACGTTCGCATAAAACGATTTTAAATTGGCATACAATATCATCCATAGAAGTTTATTATTAGGCGAAATAATATTGAATGGCATTTTCTCTTTGTTATACTTCAAGACATCTTTCACGTGTTTGATAATTTTATACAGTTGGAAAAAAGTAAGGGTTACCAAAGAAGAAAGACCCAATCCAAAAAAGCTTACACAATTGACCCCAAAGCAATAAAACAAAATAATAGGCACAGTGCTAGCAGAGAAGCACCGTTCCTTTTAGAGATTACACCGTAAAGACTCAAAATTTCGCAATTTTAGGGCTAAAAACTTCCACTGTTCACTCTTCGGTGAAAGTGGAACATGGGTAATTTGTGAGCCAGAGTTTCGTCACGAGAAAAGCGTTTTTGTTCACCATAAAAAGGTGACACTGTAAGCCGTACGGCGATACACGCAAAGTGACATGCTGGTAGATCATCGGATGACTCCTTGTTTGTTGTTCCAGTATTTGTCGCGAAACGGGTCAACGAATAGAAATATTTGTTGGCTACTGGTTGACACAAACGCCAGAGTCCAATAAAAGCCTTTAAAATCCATCTATCTATTTTATTCGTTGCGTTTACATACAGCATCCTCAACAATGCTATTGCAGGAATGAAAAAAAAACAACGACGACAACAACAACAACAACAACAAACCAGCATTCGTTAACAAGCTTCCAGAAATTCTTGGAGGAACTGGTAGTCAATCAACAATTCTGGTTAGCGAATTCTTTGCTTGTATAGTTGAAGGTTGAAAGCTACAAATGAACATGTCATTGTGGGGCTAAAAAACGTTTAAATGTTAAATGCACGGTCTCTTTCCGAAGAAAGAGGTCTGAAAATATTCAGATACCATTCTAGAGTGCCGAAGCGAGGATAATTGATTTAAACAGTGCCGAAACTTCAGGCATTAAACATAGTGACACTTCGCAAGTTTAGTAAAACCTAGCTGGGGAATATACGTTAAAGAAAAAAAATCCCTGTCCGATTTCTAGCATACAAAGCGCACCACTCTTTATTGAACGGATTATAGATTCTGGATATCACATTTCTTATCGGTGCTCCATACCATGCAACCATATTCAACAAGAGGACGAATGAGAGACTCGTAGAAAACCAGTTTGTTCCGTTAGGAGCGAGACGAAGTCTACGAATGAAATAACCTAAACTCTTAAGGGTTTGTTACATATGGAATTCATATTGCCACGTTCCATTTCCAAAGTTTTTGTTATCGTCCCAAAACACCTAACGCTTCTCAGCGCAAACCGCGCCTGCAGTTTTCGAGAAGGTTCCGGACTGTAGTAGATCATTTTGATAAGATGACGCCCACTGTGCGAACGGTACACATTGTTTTGGAACCTACGCCACCGCCAGCGATAACGCTAGAACATTCGACGGCAAGAGTATAAATGCCGACGCGCTTCGCCGCTTGTCAGTTGTTGAACGAAGGCCGACGCTTCATTCGTCGCCATCAGTCCGAGACTGCTATCTGTGCAAGACTGCTGCTGTAATTGGACTTTCCGTTTACTGGGCACAGATTCGCCCAAATAGACAGTTAAATCCCAACACGAAGTCTCCTGTCTTTGACCACGTCACGACTCCCTGACATCTGGTGGAGGTGCTGCTTCGTTCATGTACCGGACGCCCCCGTCAAGCCGTGAACCCAGCCCACGTCGCGGAGAAGACACCGACGCCAACCAAGAGCAGCGAACAAGCCGCCGACAGCAAGGTTTCCCACTGGAGTACGGGCTTCTACAAGACAAGGCGCGGAAGGCCAAGGCCATGACCTCTACTGCAGCGACAATGACAACCGGAGCGTCCCAGCCCGCGATCGTCATTCATCAACCCAGGGAACCACCAACGTTTCATGGGTCATCGTTTGAAGACCCGGAAACCTGGCTAGAAACATACGACTGTGTGGCCGCCCTCAACCACTGGGACAAGAAAGAAAAGCTCCGTCGTGTGTACTTCTACCTGGAAGACACCGCAAGAACCTGGCTAGAGAATCGGGAGTCCACGCTCCGAGCGTGTGATGTCTTCAGCGGTGCATTTCTGCAAACGTTCGTGAGCGTCGCTCGCAAAAAGAGGGCCGCTGCTCTACTAGAGACCCGGGTTCAGCTACCAAATGAGAAAGTTGGAATTTTCACAGAGGAGATGACCCGCCTATTTCGTCACGCTGACCCAGACATGCCTGAGGAAAAGAAAGTTCGTTTCCTCATGCGAGGGGTCAAACAAAAGCTCTTCGCGGGACTAATGAGGAATCCACCGAACACCGTCCAAGAATTTGTATCCGAGGCGACCACCATCAAAAAAACCCTGGACATGCGCACCAGACAGTATAATCGTCGCCTGACTCCAGAATGCGCTGCTGCTCAAGCCAGTGACTCCAAAAACCTGCATGAAACGATCCGAGCGATCGTGCGGGAAGAGCTGCGCAAACTGTTGCCTTCGGCGCAACCTCAAGTGTATACGATCGCCAACATTGTGCGAGAAGAAGTTCGGCAATCGCTTCGAATTCCCCAAACACCGCTGCCCGGGCCAGAAACTATGAGCTACGCCGCTGCAGTGCGCCACAACGCTCCTCCCCGTCCACTCCAAAACGCCGCCCCGTCGCACTTCCGTCGCCAGACACCACCGCCGCCACCACCCCCACCGACGACCTACCGTTCGCCAGCGGGCCAGCGCAGTTCGCCGAGCAAAACCGACGTTTGGCCACCCCTGACCACTGCCCACTGTGCTACCACTGCGGCGAGGCCGGGCCCACTTACCGCCGTTGCCGGTACCGACAGATGGGACTGCGTGGCTTCGCCGTCAATGCACCACGTCCGCAGCCAGGGGAACGGCCACGTGACATCGCCGACTACCTGACAGGAACTCAATGGACACCACGAAGTCCTTCCCGTTCGCCGTCGCCCAGCCGCCGCATGTCACCGCACCCCCGGCAGTACTCCGGCCCAACGCGGGGCCGGTCTCCTAGCCCGTATCCGGGAAACTAAGGGCAACAACCGGTGGAGGTGCGGTTGCTGTGCGACGAACTACCGAAGACCCTCCGACGACGACGACGCCGTGACGGAGCTTTCCGAACACAACGCTAACCAGGCAAAGCCCTGACAGAGAAAGCTCACTTACCGAAGGTGGCCTGACGACGCAACATGGAAGCAGCGGAACAAGCCGACGCAGCCGTGACCCGACGCCACGCCCTAACTATAATGCGAGACGGCGAACTAGCGACCTCGGCGTTTTTATCGACAGCCACAGTGTGACCGCTCTCGTCGATACTGGAGCCGACTATTCTGTTATCAGTGGGTCGTTCGCCGCGAAGTTAAAGAAAGTTAGGACAGCTTGGAAAGGCCCTGAAATCCGCACAGCTGGAGGTCATCTCGTAACGCCTGCAGGGATCTGCACAGCGAGAGTCACCATTAACGGCCGTATTTTTCCTACAGACTTCGTGGTCCTACAGCGTTGTTCGAGAGATGTCATCCTTGGCATGGACTTCTTATGCCTCCAAGGTGCTGTCATGAACCTAAAAGCAAAGTCGATAACGTTATCCACAGAAGAAGCACTACCGCCGGGCACGCCGTCAGGACACCATGCCTTGAATGTGCTGGAAGAACAAGTCACCATTCCGCCTCGCTCAAACGTCATTATTTCAGTAGGTGCTCCTAAATCACCTGACTTGGAAGGCGTCGTTGAAGGCAGTCAGCATCTGTTGTTCACCCGAAATATTTGCGTCGCAAGAGGAATTGCAGAGCTGCGGGGAGGCAAAGCAACGGTTATGCTCACGAATTTCAGCAATGAGTACAAACATGTGAACAAAGGAACAATGGTCGCATACATCGAAGAAATTGTCGAAGCCACCAGTGCTTTCGCCCTCGCCGATTCTGCGGAACCTGCTCAGAGGAACCAAGCCCCTCCCATAGCTTTCGACGTCAATGCCAGACTTCCGAATGATAAGCAAGAACAGCTCAAGGCCCTGCTCTTGCAATACGAAGATTGCTTTTCGTCGTCATCGAAAATTCTGCAGACCCCAATCACGAAACATCCCATCATAACCGAAGAAAATGCCAGACCACTCTGTCAGAGTCTGTACAAGGTTCTGACGCGAGAACGTGAGGCCATGAAGAGACAAGTTGATGAAATGCTGCGGGATGACATTATCCAGCCGTCCAAGAGTCCATGGGCATCCCCGTGGTGTTAGTGAAGAAAAAGGATGGGACCTTACGTTTCTGCGTCGATTATCACCGCCTGAACAAAATCACAAGAAAGGACGTGTATCCTCTCCCACGAATAGACGACGCACTTGATCGGCTCCATAACGCCAAGTACTTTTCGTCAATGGACCTCAAGGCTGGCTATTGGCAAATCGAAGTCGACGAAAGAGACCGAGAGAAGACGGCGTTTATAACATCGGACGGTTTCTTCGAGTTTAAGGTGATGCCCTTCGGCCTTTGCTCAGCGCCTGCAACTTTTCAACGCGTTATGGATACAGTACTGGCAGGATTGAAGTGGCAGACTTGCCTTGTGTACTTGGACGACATCGTCGTGTTTTCCTCGAGTTTCGACGACCATCTCCAGCGCCTTGAAGCTGTACTACAAGCCATCAGGACGTCCGGACTCACACTGAAGCCAGAAAAGTGCAGATTTGCGTATGAGGAGCTTTTGTTTCTGGGGCACGTTATCAGCAAGTCTGGAGTTCATCCCGATCCACGGAAAACAGCCGCCATCACCGACTTCCCGCCGCCCACTGACAAGAAGGCCGTGCGCCGATTTCTGGGCCTGTGCGCCTATTATAGGCGGTTCGTG